CCCCAGAGTTACTGGTAGGACGTGGGAGTGCTAGTGGTGCGGTCTACTTCCATTCTTGCAAATTCTCACGCATGTTATTATTATCTTTAAGAAATGGGTGGGGGAAAATAAGAGACAGCTGAGGCAATGTAGGATAATATATCTTAGTCTACATGAAGATTCGTGAGAGAGAGAGAGAGAGAGAGAGAGAGAGAGAGAGAGAGAGAGAGAGAGAGAGAGAGAGAGAGAGAGAGAGAGAGAGAGAGAGAGAGAGAGAGAGAGACAGACAGACAGACAGACAGACAGACACACAGACAGACAGACAGACAGACAGACAGACAGACAGACAGACAGACAGAGAGAGAGACAGAAACAGAAAGAGTGCACAAGAGCAAGCGCCAGCCAGCCATCCAGCTATGTGAGTACTAACTTTTAAGCCTTTTGATAGCCAAAGTATTCACATACCCTATGTCATACGTCATTATATAATTGAATGTCAAAAGAAAAATCAAAGAACACATGACAGTTCTATTACTGATGCTCAAGAAATATACAGTACATATATTTAATGCCCTTGTCAATTCTCCCAAGTTTACCTGTTGTAGATAGCATATTCGACTGTAAACTGTTACTCCCTGTTAAGTCCTTTACTTGCTTGTATCATGACCAGTGTAACATTATCTACTGCAGAGATATATACACCGAAAGGTGTATTCTGCTTCTGGGTGTATACATACACCCAGAGAGTACTTTAGTCTTGGACATGTACAGGGCTAAAGTAATCATGCTGGTTGGAGTGTAAGCCCTTGTATGGCCGCAGTTACAAGTTGATAGGCCTTAATGGGGGGGTAGAAATAGCCTAAGCTACTCTATCCCTTTGATATGTATTTCTTTCTGGTCTCAATAAACATACTTGAACTTGATAGGCCTTAAGCCTAACACTACCACTACAGTATTGTAATTACGCTCCTTCTCAGTTGTAACTTGATCACAAAGCTCAGGCAAATGAAAACCTTTTTTATCTAGTTCAACATAAATATAAATTATTTATCTTAGAGAAGATTGGGGTCCTTCCTCGGCTCATTATGTGACTAAGTTTTCTGGCACCGTCCGTGTACATGGACGGGTTGTAGCCAGGAATGATATGAGCAGCATAATTAAGTCAACGTACTGAATTCTTGTCACTCTTATACCCTAACCCTAGGCACGAGGTCTCACTAACATACGGACATTCATAACTGCCAACACACGCACATGTACGTTAGAACTTACATGCTCACACTGACATATTCAAAGTTACCCTAAATGGAAGCGTTACATGAAAAGTGATACAGGTTCCTGGGGCAGAGATTACAGCTGGCAAGATATATCAAGAAGCGCACGTAATAATGATGCGGAACAGACCATCCCTCAAAGCTACTTATTATAAAAAACATTCTGGTAAACAATACATCAAATGACAACATAATATACACGACGTTTTAAACTTCCATTGCAGCACTAGTAAACCTGGCTACTTATTAGGCGTAATTAGAATTTATAACAAGATCGTTTCCACACCAGAAACCCAAATTAAACAACGGGTGGAGATGACCAAGAAGTCCTTAACATTCACCCCCCCCCCCCACCACCCAACCCCACAAACAAGACCTTTGGAAGGAAAGGAGTTATCCCTGTTCTCTGTATTATCTAGGCTTACTATCCAATACAGTATAACTGAGCTGGTATAATCCAACCGTAAGAACCTGCAGCAAGTACCTAGGCTTTATTATTTTTATTTTTTCTCAACACATTTTATACTTTAATCTCAATTAGTATTAAGTTTTAGACTTTAATGTTTTTCCTGCCCGAAACGCTTTACGTAATAGTGGCTTTAGGCATTGTATGTACTAGCTCTATCTATAAATCTATCAATTTTTGTATCACCTCTTATGTATGTATGTACTTTACCTGAATAAACATTTGAATTTTGAATTTGAATTTTGAATATATGGCGTAGTGGCGAAAACTCCTCTAGCAGGACCAGCTAATAGTGCCTGAAGGGACTTACTAGGACGCGAAGGGACCTCTGGTGAGTGTTGTATTGATCGTGGAGGAAGATATTACTGATATGAGAGAGGTGGTGTTGCTAGCTCCGGCCGTCCCCCCTTGTGTGATACTATCAGTTAACACCACCTGTGAGGGGAGCACACCCTCGCCGCTCCTACACCCTCCTACACTTTATTTTATTGACGTACACCCGCACTTATACGGCTACCCGTAGAGATTATATGAACACTTACAAAAATCCCCATCTCGCAGGATGGTGTGTGATACAGGAACATATACTGAGTTGGACAGTAATAAACTTTGGATGATTATGAGTGTCTACTACACATTTGTTTCACTTAGTAACTCCGCCAACCATTACAGGGATACCACAATACTAGGGAAAGAGATAGATAAATATATAGACGCACGCATACAGATAGATAGATAGATAAGCGGGGGAAGGAAAGGGGGGGTCTCTGGCACACACTTGACCTCTGGTTCATATTGTTCCTTACATGCTAGTTACTTAGTATTAATAAATGAGTATAATCTTAATGAATAAAAATAATAAATTGTTAAAATAAATTGAGTTTCTAGACTTATGCAGGGCTTCAGATGTAGGACAACAGCTCTTAGCTCACAGTTTTACTAAGAACAACAATGACGTCCCTACAGAACATTTACAGCCCCGCTCCTGTGCCAGGTAAGTCCACTACGGGCTCACCATAGCCCGTGCTACTTGGAAATTTGTTCCCAGTACCTGAATCTTAAACAACAAAACGACGTCCCATAGTGAACCATTACCTTGGTACAAGCCAAAGGTTTATTTAGGACTGTTATTTTTTGTTTAAAGAAAAAGAGTGAGAGAGCAGTTATCATCAACATACGGAGCCCAGCTGCCAAAGCAGATGTCACCAAGACCACACGCAAATGTATTGACTCTAGAGTCCTCTGCAGTAATCGCAGGAGGACTCATGCAAACTACTTATGCCAAGACAGAGGAGGGAAGAAGAGTGAATTATATCCATCCCTTGGCCGCCGCCTTAATCCAAATGGTCGTGCAAGTAGTTCTATAGTTCTATCCGGTGTCGCCTCCAGATTTTACAATTTGTATGAATTTTAAAATCTTCATTTATGTCCATATATTATAAAATTAAATTTACAATATCGATGGTCCATGTCGATGAAATGTTTATACCAACAACATTGCTGAGCTGAAAATTCTGGATTAGGTAGCAATGTGATTGACTGCCTAATCGCATCTTAAAGTGTTCAAACTGAAATCCCGATGGATATATATATATATATATATATATATATATATATATATATATATATATATATATATATATATATATATATATATATATATATATATATATTAAATATGACCGAAAAAGTAAGATTAATAATTCTAACACGAATTTTCTCAATCTTTCGTACATTTCTTTTCACTGTTGGAGGTAAATCAAAAATCAATTCTCCAAAATTCATTTTTATTTCTAGTCTGACGCGACACGAGCGCGTTTCGTAAAACTTATTACATTTTCAAAGACTTTAGTTTACAAATACACAACTGAATAGAACTTACGCATCTCCGATTTTATATCTACATTTGAGAGAGGTGGATGGGGTGAGGTGGCATTAATAGGGTATTAATTTCATCAACACAAGACAGAACAAGAGGTGGCATTAATAGGGTATTAATTTCATCAACATTTTCATTTCATTAATTTCATCTGTTGATGAAATTAATACCCTTTAATGCCACCTCTTGTTCTGTCTTGTGTTGATGAAATTAATACCCTATTAATGCCACCTCACCCCATCCACCTCTCTCAAATGTAGATATAAAATCGGAGATGCGTAAGTTCTATTCAGTTGTGTATTTGTAAACTAAAGTCTTTGAAAATGTAATAAGTTTTACGAAACGCGCTCGTGTCGCGTCAGACTAGAAATAAAAATGAATTTTGGAGAATTGATTTTTGATTTACCTCCAACAGTGAAAAGAAATGTACGAAAGATTGAGAAAATTCGTGTTAGAATTATTAATCTTACTTTTTCGGTCATATTTAATAATATATGTCTACAGGAAAGACTGCTACCAAAATATACTAATATATATATATATATATATATATATATATATATATATATATATATATATATATATATATATATATATATATATATATATATATATATATAAAGTGTGTTTATATATATTAAATATTATCAAATCCCAAACCCATAAATAAATCCCCAAATATTGAACTATTCCTTATATACAAAAATGTTAACGAAATCTAATCTATAAAGGATTGTCAGGATCTTAGCCTAATATACAATAATCTAACTTCATAAAATCTCGGTCATTATACTGTATATACACACCCTATAGCGAAATTCAAACAAGGCTAATCCATACCTGACTAATCTGTCAAATCTATCACAGCCTATTCCAACATCCTAATTTATCCTTCAACATTAATTTTCAAAAAAACTATGAAATAAACTTTTTGTCTGTTAATAGCTTTATATATATAGTGTGTCGAGGTAGTGCATGACTGCAGTAGTTATGTACAGTGTCATTAGTGTGTCCCACTGGGAGGCCGACAGATGGCAGACAAGCCGGTGGAGTGTTGAATAAATGATGTGTGCGATGAGTCACCTCCATGGCAGAAATGCCTGACTCATACACAGTAACTCATATTCAAGTTTCAGTTTAAACTTGCCACGGGAGACATCTCCCGTGACATCTCTGTCACGCGTCACAGATCTCCAGTATCATATATTGATACCGGTAATGGCTCAAAAGGGCCACCACTTACGGGCTATTCATGCCCGTGCCACCTTTTGGATGGCTTAATCTTCATCAACCAATCAATAAACTTGCTCCACTTACGTCTAACTCTCCTGTGAGATATGGGAGTAGAATAGGATAGCAGCACAATGCTGCGTGTACTCAACCTTGTTAAAAGTCTACTTACCAGCACGGTGGTGGAAGAAAGTGTTGGTATGGTGGAGCCTAGTTAGGTCTCTTGCACTGCCGCCATAACTGACCCCTGCTGCTCTGTCTCCTGGAGGCGGTCCATCCCGCGCCCCCAGGTGAGGTCGAGTGGTGAAGTAGGCCAGGGAGGAGGACGACTGAACGAAGGTAGAGTTCAGCACTGGGTACTTGTAGTGGATAGGTGTGGCGGATTGATGGACTGGTGATTGGTGGTAATTGGGGACGGGTGGATGGTGGCAGTGATGTTTGACGGGAGACTCATGGTGATGGGGTGGATTCACGGAGGACTGTTGGCGGCGGGGAGGCGGGTCTTGTACGGAGCCAGGGTGGATGTGTTGGCTCAGGTGTGGGGCAAGATATGCCTTATGTCGCAACCCATTCTGCAGTTGCCTCAGATACATTGTATTCTCGTGTCCTTGCACTAGGTTATATAGGTTCCTTTGTAGGGCAGCCAGGTCGGCATTGGCAGGGGAAGGTGACGGGCCCCTGGCAAGTCTCTGCGACCAGGGGCCACTCAGTCGGTCTGGTAGTGGTGTAAATGGGGGCTCTGTCTGTCCATTGCGCAGGGGAGAGCGGCTGTATTTGGCGGCCGAACCAACGGTGACACCTTCTCCTTCATTGAATTTATAAGTCCACGATGATGCCATTTTCGACGTCCGTTTCGTCTGCGTTGTTTGCGTGCCGGCATTCTGCAGTCTCACGTACCGTAAGTGCGGTTGGTGGCTTTCCGCATCTCTCTCAGGGTGCTGATCACTGGTCGCTGACCCTGGTGGGTGCTGTCCCTGTCTTCTTCCACCAACGCTAGCCCTCAACTTCTTATCGCCTCCGTATTGTCCAGACAGAAAACTTCCATTTGTCTCATATCTGCTCACATCACTACCTGCCGAAGTTTTGCCGACATCCGCAAAACTTACACCTCTTTCATCACCTATCACACCTCTGTTTTTGCCAACGTCTGTGTGAGCTCCACCGTATAAAAGCCTGCCTTTGTCACCACCTTTGTAAGTTCTACCATAAAAATGTCTGTCTCTGTCATCACTTTTATGAGTTCTACTATCTAAAGTTCTGTTTGTGTCACCACTTTTATAAGTTCTACTATCTAAAGTTCTGTTTGTGTCACCACTTTTATAAGTTCTACTATCTAAAGTTCTGCCTCTGTCATCACTTTCAAAAGTTCTATCATCGAATGTTCTGTTTGTTAACGTTTTGCTCCTGTCACTGACATTGTATGTTTTGCTTCTGGCATTTCTTCTTGAAATTCTGTCTCTGTTATCATCAATTGATGATCTGTTTCTGCCATGGTCATCACCCGTTAAAGTTCTGGCTCTGTCATCACCTGTTAAAGTTCTGGCTCTGTCATCACCTGTTAAAGTTCTGGCTCTGTCATCACCTGTTAAAGTTCTGGCTCTGTCATCACCTGTTAAAGTTCTGGCTCTATCATCACCCGTTAAAGTTCTGGCTCTGTCATCACCTGTTAAAGTTCTGGCTCTGTCATCACCTGTTAAAGTTCTGGCTCTATCATCACCTGTTAAAGTTCTGGCTCTGTCATCACCTGTTAAAGTTCTGGCTCTGTCATCACCTGTTAAAGTTCTGGCTCTATCATCACCTGTTAAAGTTCTGGCTCTATCATCACCTGTTACAGTTCTGGCTCTATCATCACCTGTTACAGTTCTGGCTCTATCATCACCTGTTGAAGTTCTGGCTCTATCATCACCTGTTAAAGTTCTGGCTCTATCATCACCTGTTAAAGTTCTGGCTCTATCATCACCTGTTAAAGTTCTGGCTCTATCATCACCAGTTAAAGTTCTGGCTCTATCATCACCTGTTAAAGTTCTGGCTCTATCATCACCTGTTAAAGTTCTGGCTCTATCATCACCTGTTACAGTTCTGGCTCTATCATCACCTGTTACAGTTCTGGCTCTATCATCACCTGTTGAAGTTCTGGCTCTATCATCACCTGTACAAGTTCTGGCTCTATCATCACCTGTTACAGTTCTGGCTCTATCATCACCTGTTGAAGTTCTGGCTCTATCATCACCTGTTAAAGTTCTGGCTCTATCATCACCTGTTACAGTTCTGGCTCTATCATCACCTGTTGAAGTTCTGGCTCTATCATCACCTGTTAAAGTTCTGGCTCTGTCATCACCTGTTAAAGTACTGGCTCTATCATCACCTGTTAAAGTTCTGGCTCTGTCATCACCCATTAAAGTTCTGGCTCTATCATCACCTGTTACAGTTCTGGCTCTATCATCACCTGTTAAAGTTCTGGCTCTGTCATCACCCATTAAAGTTCTGGCTCTATCATCACCTGCTAAAGTACTGGCTGTGGCACTTACTACGCCAGAGGTGGCCTCGACACTTTCACTGCCACTTTGAATTTCTGTTGACTTACTCATAACTGAAATGTACTCACTATAGTTCAACAAGCTTTTTGGATGGTCGCAGCTCTTTGGCACATCACATTGTTCACTAGGATCACTGTTAGGGTCTCGCGAGTCACTTTCATTGTCTTTATCTTCGTCACTCTTAGTGCCTGTGAGATCAGCTTCTCTCACAGTGACTTTTAGACTGTCTTCCAGTGGTATTGCACTAAAGGAATCTGTAGGTATTTCTCTATCCACGGAAGAGGTAATGGATTCTGCCCTATCTAACTCATGCAAGTTGCTTCTTTCACTCTCATCTTTGTCACTTTCCGCAGAACTGCAAGCTTCATCTTCTGCCACATCATAACGAACACCATATTTGCATGCAACACCTTCTGTCGAGTCTTCACTATCAATATTCCTTATGTCTATTGGAATGTGTTCATCTTCGTGCTTTAAAGATTCGTACTGGAAGTTATCATCTTCTGCAATGTCAGGTGTTATGCGAGAGTCACTGGTCAGCGCTGCCACGGTAACAGTGCCATCCCCCTGAAGTGTCACTCTGTGTCTTGCTTCACTTTCGCTGATGTCTTCATCAGACATGGCTTGGTCCCCCTCCGGAGGGCCTTTGACATGCACCTGAGAGCTGTCCAAGGAAGAATCAAATCCTTCATTATGAGACTCGACACTCACTAATGTCTCGGACACCAGACTAACATTCAGTCTTGGAGGCGATGGCACTGGCACCTTATTTATCAAACTTGATGGGCCTGAACATGATCTAGGAATGGCTGTTCTTGGTTTAGGCTCAGGTTGTCGCCTTTCAGAACTGCTGGATGTTCCAAGATTGAACTCAGAATCATGCTCTTCATCAGAAGAGTGTAGCTGGAGCTTTGATGGTTCAAAGACAACCTCGGGGTGGCTATCATTGGAAGTCAGCGATACGAGCACTTCCTCCAAGGCTCTGGGAGACCCAACGTCGTCCATGCTAGAGCTGCGACTCTCAAAGGTGATAACGCATCCGTAATTTCCTGCAATGTCTGAGTCACTAACTTCGCAAGCTCCCTCCTCGTCTTCAAAATCAGAGTCCGACGGAGCCAATATTTCCTTTACCAAGCGTTCTTGTGCCAAAGTGTCAAATCGTAGCAGGTTCAACTCAGTTTTAAAAGTAGCTCTTCTGGTTGAGGAAATATTAGCAAGAAGATCCTCATATGATGTGCTGGAAGCATTTGATCCATCGAATCCCTTAGCTCCTGCCTCTCGCCTACATCTCCAGGCCTCTTCGCCAGTTAAGTCTTCTATGCGGAGAGATCTATCTCGAGAACTGAACAAGGATTTTTTTCGTCTGGCACCTTCACCGGCGTCTTCTGAGTCCTGTGAAGTTTCTCCTCCAGCAGCGTAAGGACTGATGTTGTTGGGGGTTTCTTTATTATCTGGAGACGGAGGCTCACTGCCATCCTCAAACCCAAGACAAACACCGCTGCTTGTTGAAGACAGTCCAGCCAAGAACTTTGAACTAGCATGTGACAAATCAACAGCAACTTGGAAAGCACGTGAGAGATTTGGCGATGATATTGATGCTTCTTTTTGGTCTTTGAGGTTATTAAATGATGTGGATGATGCCCGGAGCTGGCTGTGAGATCTTCCTCGGGTTAAGCTTCTAGGGAGGACTCTGGTCTTGCCATCTGATCTAGCAAAATTCTTTTGAATGCTTGAAGACGCTCCCTCTTCTTTTCCTTCATCTCCAGTGTAAATCAGTGAGGTGGAAGAAACCCATTTACGACCTCCGAGGGTTCCAAACTGGTGATAGGGATGTGAGTCTTTGTGTGTGGAGCCGACGAGTCTCTCTAGGTGATCGGAACTGAGGTAACGCAGTCGCAGCTCCGGTACATCGCTCCAGAAAGGGGAAGTTTGGTCTGACTGCAAGAACAGCTCGACAGCAAACTTGTGTGGCACGATGTGGAATGGGTCCACCTTGTAGTCCCTCTCTCGCACCTGCAGGCTCCCGCTGATCGCGTCACGTACCTAGCAAAGAAGCAGTATAAACTTTACCATTTACTGATGTTATACAGATACTGTATCTCCAAAACTGATTAAAAAAATCAAGCTTGATACATATAAAGTGACTGGATGAAAATGTAGCATACAACGGACCTTGTCTTTGATGAGTATGAAGCCGGTGTGGAGGCCACAAGGTATGGGTGTAGGTGTGGCCTCGTACCAGCCCAGGTGAGGCTGCCAGGTGAGGCACACTCGTGTCCCCGTCACAGAGGTCAGCACCAGCCACACCTCCGGCGCCCGGCAACCCACCGTCCGGCACCACCGGAACCTGTACCAACAAATGATCATATATGCAGCACCTACTATATATCTTGTGTCTATATCAATAACCCTCGAATTTATACTGGTATACGCTACATCCAAGGCCGAACATCACATTAATCAGCAGGTGAGGATTTTCTTGCTAGAGTGCATTTACTAGGAAATTTATTTTTACACTAATTAAAATATCTGCCGCAAATATGTAATGTTTAATATGAGTGTTTCTCCGGCCTGAGTACACATCTCTCACGTAGGTCTGTATTATTGTATTATGTATTGATGCCAGCTCCTGTAAAAGCTGTATTATAACACTCCACGACTCACCAAGGATGTTCATGGTCTAGCGGGAAGCTTGAGACATCTTCACCATTATATCTTTTACTTTATTTTTGTATCTAATGCTTAGATAAATTAGGATACAAGTTTACACTGAGGAGCGGTCGTTAGGGGGATGCCAGGGATGTGTTCATAATTAATTGAGCGCTCGTTAGGGGGATGTGTTCATAATTAATTAGCTTATATTAATTTGTCATCTTAATTATTTTCTTTGAGTTCCCTTGTGGGAACATACGCCAGATGGTTCAATGTTTACCCTACACTCAGAATCTGGCGAAATGTATATGTTTATCTCTCAGAATGTTCGGTAATATGTTTATTGTTTGTGATGTGTGTGTATATATGTATTAACACGATGTACTGAACGGGGTGAGAATAGCTTGAGCTGCCTCATCCCTTTGTGTGTATTTTACCTCAATAAACTTATTTCAATTTGAGAGTGTGGCCACATACTTGATCTCAGGCTGGAAGCTGCCTGCAGATATCATGGCGGTAGAGTGACGTCACAGGGCACCTCGCACCGACCTGTAATGTTCACAGTTAACATAACTGTTCATCTTATAAATGTTTATGCTTTCATAAATATCTAGGTTATTTACTAATGTTCATTTGTATTACTTTTGAAATATTAAGCAAAATGTAATTGGTTGATTAACGTTTAATAGTTTTGAAGCCACTTTTAATGTTTTAATTAATATTGCCAGAGTTATATTTGTTATTTTTATTGATCAATAACACGGCACTATTCAAAGAATGTTTTTGTCGCAATAAAACACTTATTTAAGTTATCTCGAAAGGTTAATTTTATCGGATATATACTTATGAACAATATTATATCCATATATTATATCATCCGGGTAAATGGAGAGACCTATGACAAGCTGCCAGCTGGGACGTCCACCTCCTGGGGCTCGTGCGGCCCCCCAGGCTCTGCTTCAGGAGGCTGGGGCCCTCCATACCCTTGCTGGGGTGGTTCTTCTCCGGCCCCGACCTCGGCCGTCTCCGGGTTGGGAGTCACTGTGCCTTTTTTCACCAACTTTGAGGTCAATTCCGGAGCTATCAATTCCTGCGACGGCGCTGGAACCAATCGTATTGGCGTTTGCCTTTCCATTGGAGACTTTCGGCGCCGTGGAAAGGAGGGACTTGCTGCATGGGTGACAGCTTCTCCTCCATATCAACCTACCCTGGCTATGCCCCCTGGAGAGGCCACTCCAGACCGATAACCAGAGCGCAACTCCATAGTCTCCTGAGACTGATGGCTGCCCACTATACTGCTATGCCCAACCCATCCCCCCCCCCCAAGGCCGAATTACTGACCCTGCCCAGGATGCAACAACACAACAAACTGACTAACTCCTGAGTACCTACTTACTGCTAGGTGAACAGAGGCATTAGGTGAAAGGACCAACTTGGCCAACAAAGGACCAATGGTTGGCTACACCATTAGGTGTTGCCAACCATTTTTGTCCCGCCCAGGATTCGAACCCGGAATTTTCGATTATGCGTGGAGAACGAACCCAACTGTACAGTACCGGAACAGAGGTGTCTCTGTTCAACCCGTTCTCGCATACAAAGATCCAAGCTCTTTAATCTAGCCGCCAAACCCCCTGTTTATGAATGAAAAGCGGTTTACACACAACCCGTCCTCGACTCAAGTCCATTACATTCAGCGGTCAACCCCACAGACGCATTCATCAATTTTAACATGCTGTTCATTCAAAACGGGAATTTTCGCAAGTATAAATTAATATTATAATATATTAGCATATTGTATATATATAGGCATAGGATAGGTTAGGTTAGATGTTTAGGTTCTGTTGACGATTATTTGTATTTGTAGTACGTGGGTGAAGCATTTATAGCATTGTAATTCGAACAAAATTCGTCAGTGAAGCACTTGTTCCGGATATGTTCGAACGTTAGCAGTTGTGAGTCGTGTGTAAACCGCTTTTCATTCATAAACAGTGGGTTTGGCGGATGCATGGAATCACTTTTGGGTCTTTGTTTGGAGGACGGGCTGTTACACACGACTCACAACCGATGACGTCCGAACACTTCCCGAACAAGTGCTTCGCTCACGTCCTCTGTTCGAACCACAATTCTATAAATGCTTCACCCACTACGCCAAACTATACATACAATTTTTATGTATAAGAATATTAATTTATATATGAAAACATGCCAATTTTTAATACACAGTATGCTAAAATTGATGAATGCGTCTGGGGAGGACGGCCGCTGCTTTAAACAGCCTGGTGTGAGAACGGGTTGCTCTGTTCACCTAGCAGACTGTTGTACAGCCCGTCCTCCAAACAAAGACTCAAAAGTGATTCCATGCACCCGCCAAACCCCCCTGTTTATGTATGAAAAACGGTTTACACACGACTCGCATCTGATGACGTTCGAACACTTCTGGAACAAGTGCTTCATTGACGACTTGTGTTCGAACCACAACGCTGTAAATGCTTCACGCACGTACTACAAATACAAATAATCGCCAACAGAACCTAAACACCTAACCTATGCCTATCTTCTTGAGGTTATCTTGAGATGATTTCGGAGCTTAGCATCCCCGCGGCCCGGTCCTCGACCAGGCCTCATTTTTGTTACACATCCCCAGGAAGCAGCCCGTAGCAGCTAACTCCCAGGTACCTATTTATTGATAGGTGAACAGGCGCATCAGGGTGAAAAAAACTTTTTACCCATTTGTCTTTGCCTTCACCAGGGATCGAATCCGGAACCTCAGGACTACGAATCCGAAACGCTGTCCACTCAGCTGTCAGGCGCCCACTATATGCGCCTATATATATGCACAATATGCTAATGTATTATAATATTAATTTATATTTGAGAAAATTCCCGTTTTGAATGAACAGCGTGTAAAAGTTTACGACTGCGTCTGTGGGGTCGACCGCTGGATGGAATGGACTTTAGTCGAGGACGGGTTCCTATTATGTCCCTCTGTAACCCTTTCCACCACCGCCCACGGGATGGGTATGGGGTACATAATAATGAAATTAATAATGCTATTAATAATAATAATAATAAAAAGTATATAACTATCCGGGAGTTAGGCAACTATTGTGGGTAGCATCCCGGGAAGGTCAGCTGTTGACTCATAGGGGACCGTGATAAGCCTAACAGGTTTATTACTAAGAGAATGGGAAACCGTCCTAACCCTTTAAGTGACCAACCCTTACCCTCCTTCCCTCCAGAAAAACTCACGTTCCCTCCCCCCTTCACTACCCTCCACCTCTTAAATGCATGAAAATAATTAACTTGTAATTACAACAATTCCCTAGGAGCACTATTTCTCGTACTTCAGGTGACGTGAAGGTGCGGGTACCTTGAGCAGACGCCGGTGTGTTGCTTCCCGGGAATACCGCCCTTATGGGGAGAGCATATATGTCTCTAATTTCCCTTACCATAACATTACTGGATTTGTTGGGTGGAGGAAGCCTACATCATCATTGCTCCCCCACCCCGGGCACCCATTACTTCGTATGATGAGTTATGTCACCTGTGTCTTGCCAGTCTGGCAAAATTATTTGTATAAAATAAATCCTCTCTGAGAGAAGTACTTCGTGTTACCTGAAGTACTTCTCTCAGAGTACTGTTTACCGGGTGCTACTGTTTGTCTCAGCACGCTCCTCCACTTTGTGATATTTTGCCGAACTTATATATACTTTGTTGTGTGCTCGTGGTTACTGTACGTACCTAAATGTATTTACAGGGTCGGACGCTAGCTTCCGATCCCGCCCCACCCCCAACTAAATGTATATAATGCAACTGACGATCACACAACATTAATTATAGGTGTGCGGAAAGCACATTTCATTATTGGTTTCCGCGCATATATATAATAATAATAATAATAATAATAATAATAATTTGTATTTAAAAGTACAACATACACATATAAGATATATACAGTCGGGTTCGTTCTCGACTGGCAATCGAGAATTCAAGGTTCAAATCAAACAGACAGAAATAGTCGCTTTTCCTATCACCTAATGCACCTGTTCACCTAGCAGTAAATAGGTGCCCAAGAGTTAGTCAGCTTCTTGTGGGGTTGCATCCTGGGGGGGGGGGGGTCAGTAATTCGGCGGGGGGGGGGGGAGGGACATGATATGCCTAACGTGAATAAATACAACCTGGTTGCCTGTCCCCCCGAAACAACAAATTATTTATAATTACTTGCTCCTGACCCCTTTTGTGGCTTTTAACCTTTTCCGCTACCGCCTACGGAATGGGTATGGGGGTCCACTACCGCCCACGGGATGGGTATGGGGTCCACTACCGCCCACGGGATGGGTATGGGGGTCCACTACCGCCCACGGAATGGGCATGATGTCTACCACCGCCCACGGAATGGGTATGGGGTCCACTACCGCTCACGGGATGGGTATGGGGTCCACTACCGCTCACGGGATGGGTATGGGGTCCACTACCACCCATGGGATGGGTATGGGGTCCACTACCGCCCATGGGATGGGTATGGGGTCCACTACCGCCCACGGGATGGGTATGGGGTCCACTACCGCCCACGGGATGGGCATGAGGTCTACCACCGCCCACGGAATGCGTATGGGGTCCACTACCGCCCATGGGATGGGTATGGGGTGCGTTGCCGCCCATGGGATGGGTATGGGGGTCCGCTGCCGCCCATGGGATGGGTATGGGGGTCCGCTGCCGCCCATGGGATGGGTATGGAGTGCATAATAAATGAACAAAATCAAATACTAGCAGCAGCACAATAATAAAGCCCCGCTTATGGCAACACCACCTTGGAGACGCTCGTGCAGCAGCAGAAATTAACTTCTTTAATGGCATCGATCTCCTTGACTTACCCCTTCCTCTCCCCGATTATATTTTACAATATATCGCACCTTTAAATTAGCACTGTACGGTTAAATATAAACACTAGGTAGATGCGAACGAATTACGACTCAAGGTATGAACGCGTCATAATATCCGGAGAGTTAAGTTGCTCTTCCATGTATTGACTACATTATCCGGAGCGCACCGGGCAGCACCCTCCTGACGTCTTGTCTCGGGCTTCATTACGCCAAGACGTCTCCTGGCGTAGGACATGTAGATGTTTATCTCTCAGAATGTTTGGTAATACGTTTATTGCTTGTGATGTGTGTCTATGTATGTATTAACACGATGTACTGAACGGGGTGAGAATAGCTTGAGCTACCTCATCCCTTTGTGTGTATTTTACCTCAATAAACTTATTTCAATTTTAATTTCTCTTGGCGTTCATGCTGCACGTTCTCATGTCCCTCACAACAGGATGTTTGGGATGAGTTTCATCACTACGAGATATTCACGATCCGATTAAACAATGAGGTACGAGGGCACGAGGAGGAATTCCTGCCCTCGCGGAGTACTCACCATGATGCTAGACAGATGATGACATAGCAGACATGTTGGGTTAGAGTGAGAGGAAGAGACAGGAGAGCCCAGGGCGGCCGTCTTCCCCTCCCGCGCCACCAACGTTAAACTGTCTGGCAAGACTCAACACTGAGGGGAGTCCATCACTGCTGCCACTGACCGCAACATGACACGCATATATATATTTTACACTAATATATTATATTTTCTCCAATGTTATTAATCCCTCGGTAAGAGTTCAAGGCGTAAATACATGACCAACGGGAGTTATTATGCTGTGGGAAAGGACTGGAGGAGGTATAATAGGTGGCAGTGTGGCACTCTCGTCTCGCCCAGTACGCAGGCGCGGGGTTCGAACTACCCGCCCACATTAAGTTTCCTTTGCTTATAACAACTTATAACTTTACTATATTTGTTTTTATTACTCCATTAAGCAGCTGTGGCTTCTGAGGCCTGCCTATAATCGTTATTAAAAAAAATGACTGTCCACAATTCAATCTTAACGAGACAATAATTATCATCCACTGTCCATTACATTTATGGGCCATTATATATACGTCGCATGATAATATTTTGATGAAGCTATATAATTTAGTTTTATTGTATTATTATTTAAACCCTTGTAAAAAAATAGTACAATGAGCCCTTTAACAATGTTGGGTGCAAATGAGTTATGTACAATCTTACAAAGTCACAAATAATCTTGTTGCCATAATAACGGACATATAACCTTTAGAAAATAATAAATGTACTTAACATTCAAATTAATTCATAATATTTTAGAATTATTGTACAATTTCGGATAATACAATTATTATGTTGTTGATGATCCAGGGATCGAATGCGCACATGTGTAACGCCAGCCAATGTTTACAAACAAGGCAAGATGGCGGACGTGGTGAGCGAGGATACTCAGGGCAAGACTTACGCTGACATTCAGGGCCTCCAGCCTTGGGTCATACACCAGCTCGGGGAACTCAGTCAGTAACTCTTGTGGGCTTTGGTTCATGAGTGTTGACCCGTGATTGTGATGTTTTTGGTAGTGATACTTCCTATGACTATGGCTAGTAGTTTTTTTTATATACAGTATAAAGTTTTGTTAATTTATCATGCACAGCACCCCATACCCATCCTGTGAGTGATAGTTGACCTCATACCCATCCTGTGAGTGATAGTTGACCTCATACCCATCCTGTGAGTGATAGTTGACCTCATACCCATCCTGTGAGTGATAGTTGACCTCATACCCATCCTGTGAGTGATAGTTGACCTCATACCCATCCTGTGAGTGATAGTTGACCTCATACCCATCCTGTGAGTGATAGTTGACCTCATACCCATCCTGTGAGTGATAGTTGACCTCATACCCATCCTGTGAGTGATAGTTGACCTCATACTCATCCTGTGAGTGATAGTTGACCTCATACCCATCCTATGAATGATAGTTGACCTCATACCCATCCTGCAAGTTATAAGAGACCCATACTCATCCTGTGAGTGGTAGTTGACTCGATGCCCATTTTATCTGCACTACCTATAGTAGGCAAACTTTGAATAGGTGAACAATAATGGCTCTGGCATTGGAAACATCTGAGAAACTGACTTGGGATGGAATGTTACACAACATTTGATCCATTATTTTTGTCATGTCCCAAGATATGGTGACCTGTTGATACATCTCTTGATCGTCTACAACCACAACTGCACAGATATGTGTGTGTGTGATCATTTGTTGTAATATGCAGTCCTGACAGTGGACTGTCAGATGTCATGCCAAAGATATGACACTCATGGTGTCATGTCTTTGCCAATTTAGTCCTATTGTTTACTCCTAAAGTCTTCTGTGATACACTGTATTAAATGTTTATCATTTAAAAAATAAAGTTTTGTTCTTTCTTTTTACCAGAGATTCACCAGCCAACCCCCATTCAGTATCATTGCATCCAGCCTGCACTTGAGGGCAGAGATGTCATTGGAGCAGCAAAGACTGGCTCAGGGAAAACCCTGGCTTTTGTTATACCCATCTTACAAAAACTATCAATTGACCCTTTTGGAATTTATGGCCTCGTACTAACACCCACACGGGAGCTCGCTTTCCAGGTAAGGAACTGTACATCTGTATTGCTTGAATGTTAAAAGCAGCTGTATTCTATGTGCTGCTCTGATAATTTATAGACAGATTTTTTGTTGTATGGTTAATTTTGGTTAAATGTTTGGTTATATATGTTATATGTATCTAACAGGTAACAAAATATATTTATACATAAAATTGTGAGAATTTTTGTTCTTTGCTGAATTATTTAAAATAATAAAATTAAAGTACAGTAAGTGTAATTACAGTACCAAAAGAAAATACCAAGCTGGAAAGACCATGTGTCACCCAGACATTCAGGTGCAAAATATCATTCAGAATGCCAGTACAAAATACAGATAAAAAGTAAAAATATGAGCGACGTCAAAGGTATCAGATTCGACAAGAATTCTATGCGGGGACAAGTGACCCAGAGAGTCATTTGGAAAGAAAGACTTACAATCATCATAAAAATCTAGACATTCAGCAAGGAGGTAAATGACTACAAGTGGCACAGTGCAATTCGGACATTAAGGAGCAGGGCATCGTTGCATCAAATGCTCATGAATTAAGCACATGTGCTTGATACACAGCCTAGTCAGAGCCATTTCCCACCAATAATTATGACGGTAGGAGGAAGGCCATGGGAATAATCAACCTTTAAGAGTGTGCAGTTTGTTACCCATAATGTTAGAGCATTGACTTAGTCAACAGTTGCAGATGGCAGAATGAATGGGTAGAAATCCAAACAAGGGGTCCATTTACCAGGAATGAGACAGTCGTGCATTTCTTCCTTAGCAGTGATGTCAGCAAGTTTATTCGAAGTAACACCAAAATGGCAGGGGTACTCAGTAGAATTCAACTGTTTTAAACTTGCTAAAGATGAGAAATGGCCAGTATTGGAGTTCACACCAGAAGATGGAAAAGATTAAAAAGACTACAGAGCCATAAGGGCACTGAATGGCAACCACAATGACAAAGACCATTGACGCATAAAAAGTAGCTGATGAAGAGCATACAAAATTGCATAATACCTGTACTCTGTAGTTAAGATGCTAGTCTCAGGATGGCAGATGGCACATTAATAGAATGAAGCTGTAATAATATGTTGTGTAAGCTTATGAATACATTATCTACTGCCAGCTTCATGTACTATGCAGTACATATTCCTATCCAGAAATCATTTAATTAATATCTGTAATTTCTATTCAAAGTATATAAATGTGAATGGCTGTCTGCCCTATCATTTGGCCTCAGGGCTAAATCCTACTGTTCATGTAGTAGGTATAGTAGGATTTAGCCCTGAGGCCAAGTGAGAATGCAGACGGGCATTCACAGTTATATACTTTGAATAGGAATTAAAGATATTAATTCTATTAATTAAATGATCCAGTATCCCAACATTCTTCTTTCCCCATTAAACATATTACTGTCTGTACTAATAACAATTTATTTTGACATTCTAGTGACATTTAAGGAGTGTCATGTATATTGTACCTATTTCTGCCATGTCATATAAACTGTGACAACACTTCATAAGTTTACAGTTAAATTATTATTACTTAATTTATATAGAACATACAATATACTTTGTCAAACTTTGTCAACTCAGTTAAAGATGTTTTCATACAATAACTGAGCTACATAGTCTTCCTGGCTTGGCACCCTCTTTTGATAATTACTGTACTTATTTACAGATAGCCGACCAGTTCCGGGGTCTTGGATCACCAGTATCACTGCGTCTGAGTGTGGTGGTGGGAGGCCTGGACAGGGTGGCTCAGTGCGCAGAATTGAATCAGTCCCCACATATAGTTGTAGCCACTCCTGGAAGACTGGCAGACATATTGGAAACCTCACCAGAATTAACACTCAAAAGGTAAAGGCTATATGATAGAAAATGGATTTATACATAAGTGTTTTTGAATAAGGTACTTATTTTTTTATTTAATTTTTTTTCCCCAGGATAAAGTTTTTAGTTTTAGATGAAGCTGATCGTTTGATGGATGGTAGGTTTGACACTCAGCTACGCACTATATGGGCATCACTACCAGAAAAGAGACAAACTCTGCTGTTCTCTGCAACCATTACAGACAGGCTCCAGCGAATGAAGGAACTGGCAACATCTGAGGTAATATATATGTGTGTGTATAAATTTTGCTATCCTTTGCATTTAAAATGAATTAGATATACCTTGAAGGAATGCCTTACAGTATTTAAATATTCCCTTAATGAATTAGTTATTTATGTCCTATGAAGGGATGAAGTTATTTGTGTCCCAGAAAGGGATACAATATTTAGATATTCCCTGAAGCTATACCTTATATAGATGTCCCTAAAGAGATACACGTTTTATAGTTTTTTTTTCTAATTTTCAAGAAATTTATGGTGGTGTAAGGGAGATTTCTATTGTTATAGGGCCATATAATTTACAAGAGACTATTTAGCACCATCTGTGTCTTATGATATTACAAAAATACAGGTTGTTAACATGAGAGCAAAAAAACATGAGCAATGTCATAGGTATCCAATTCTCCTAGGAGTTTATCAAGGGACATATGGCTTTTTTTATGAAATACTGAGAAAACAAAATTTCCAATTATCCTGAAAATCAGAACATACCCCTAATGGGTAGAAATAATGTAGTCTACCTTGGAAGCTAATGGTATAAATTAATATTGTCACTTCCTTGAGAAGATGACTGCTTTTGATGCCTATCTAAGTTACTCACTCATAAGATACTTGTCCACCATTAATAGCCTATGAACTCAGCCGATCACTGTAGTAGTGATGGACAGAGAATTGGACTGGGTGAATGCTATGTATTCTCAACAAATGAGATAAGTGAATACTGGATCATTAAGTTCAAAATTATATTGGTACTTTCTATTTCATTATATACATTTGTCGGCAGTGATCTTCGTATCGCAGACATCATCCTTCAGCACTGTATTGTAGACCTGTTATGGTCCACATTGTAGTACCAAGTGATACTGTTGCTTCTTTAGTACTTGATCTTAATTGGCTTTCTCTGGTAAGATAGCAACATAATTGAGTAACTCTTATGTTGATTAACTAACTTGATGCTGTCTGTGGCTTGGTATTTTCACTAGCTTCTTGGCCATCAAAACTACAGATACACTGTACTCAGTTTGATGACTGACAACAAAATGGAGTTCCTCCAGGCAGGTGATATAGCACTCTCGTCCTCATCTAATGCTTTCCTTAGTGCTTCTCTGAACACCAATAGGTGCCAATAGTCAAAGAGATGGGCAGTGATGGTGGTACTTAGACCTGACAACCCTGTTGCTGTCTAAGTGTTACGGTGGTCATTACCACAGAGCCACAATCTCCCCTCCATGTACCATATCACTCCAAATTCTCTGGAATGAGGCTGCTTTCTAGTTGGTTCTTTATTAGCTTGTATCTAATTTGGTCTAGATTATTATAAGAGGGTGTTGGTTTTGATCGGGCAAGGAAGCTCGAGCTACATATCTGTAAAAAAATTGTTCCTTCAAATGTGTCACTGAAGTTTTAATACAGTACTGTATATAACATTATAATATGTATACATTTCAGATAAATAATACTGTATTTTAATTGTTTTTCTTGTTGCGAACTGTTTATATAGTATATTTTAACTAGTACTCAACCCTTTTATTTAACCCTTACAGGTTAAATTTACATTTAAGCTTTGGGGAACCTTTGTAATTTAAAAAATGGTTCTTTTCTAGGTATTTCTCTGGCAGTCAACAAATACACAGGCAACTGTTCAGCAGCTGGACGAACGTTATGCTTTAGTCAATCCTATTGTGAAAGATGCTACCATGATTGCTACGGTTGTTCGGCAAATTGAACAGAAACCGAAGGGTCTCATATTAATTTTTACCGATACATGCAAGAACACACAGGTATGGAATATGTAAATGAATCAGCCCATCCCTCCTAAAATGAAAGTACTTATACTAATTTGGTAGAAAGTGTCAATATGTGGTGATGAACCACCAGAAAGTTGACTTTTGTATTATGGAATTTAAACAAACTGAAAACTTTTTTTAACCGCAACATAAATGTAAGATCTAACCTAGCCTCTATTAGCAGTTCTAGGCCTAATATGGTTCACATATATGTTATACTTGGTCTAGGAATATCTAAATTTGACTTTTAGCTTTATTTTTCCTGATTCTAAAATTACAGTAATAGAACAAAAAGTGCTTTACTGGTGGTCTATCATGACATATTGGAACTTTGTACTAAATAGTTATTAAAGGTACTGTACTATCATTTCAGGAGGATGGGTTGAAATGAATGTGTATTCTTTTATAACTACTATAAAGCATTTACTTGAGAAAAATTCTAATTCTTTTCAGTAAAGGCAGGAACATAATTTTCAGATATTTAAATTTTATATACAGTATTTAGCCTTTTGATCTAGAAGAGCAGGACGTGGAGGACCTGGTTTAAGCAGAGGATCACAACTAAACTATCATTGATCTTTACCTAGTATGGATCATTATATTCATTGCCTAGGATAGTTACAGTGGCAAGGACTCCTTACCTTGCGGTTACCTTGTGATGATTTTGGGGCTCAACATCCCCGCGGCCCGGTCCTCGACACAGTAATAAAATATGCTTCATTGAAAGTGATATATTGTAGTTCATAAGTTTGAACTGCAGTAAATATAATTTATTGCAATTGTCTTTTCCCCACCCTTCAACTTATCAGTCCTTACCTAACCTATGTAGAAAATAGGATACTGTATTATAATTGAAGTTGACTCCACCATCCGTTAAGAAATATATAACAATTGATTCCAAGGATACTTCTGTTTCTGAATCAGGTTAGGTGAGGGATTGTTTGGTCCATGTCTGGAAAATGGCATATACATTCCAGTTTTGGTGATGATGATATTCTGAGATTCTCTCACATATCACAAAATATTTATATAAACAAGGAGACCTAGTTTAACTTTCCTTTTTCTGGTATTATAATCTAAATACTGATGGTAAAGGTAGTGGCAGAATTATCCAACTTTAGGACAGTCTCTGGCATTAACTTGACTACATTGTCATACTACAGGTCTGATAGATCATTAGTTTCATATTTATATGTTTCAGGTCATTATTTCCATAAAATATTAACCCATCCCTCATATGTGATTCTGGGCAGGTGCTGAGCATGTTGCTAAACTCCTTGAGCATAGATTGTGTGGCCTTACACTCCATGATGTCCCAGAAAGAAAGACTCTCTTCTCTAGCACGCTTCAAGTCATCGCAAGTAAAGGTCCTCATTGCAACCGATGTTGCAAGTCGAGGGCTGGACATTCCCCTGGTTAGTGTGCAAAATATAAATAAAATCATTTGTTTATATGTTTATTGTCTGCTGATATTTTTAAAGTATTTTAGATACCCAGATTTTCACTTAACATTGTTCTTATAACCGATATTGAATCTATTCACCTTATGTTTTGGGACTGCTTTTTTATATTTGTAGTTATTCTCTTGAGCATTATGGACTTTATCTAAGATCTCTTCCTTTCTTATGAAGCTGTACTCTTTCCCCATCCTCATATGGGGAATTACTCATATATATGAGTACACTGGCCTAGTACACTACACATACCCCACTCTCTGTCTAGCCAATATTTTTTTCATTCTCGCATATGTATTTTTGTTTTTATTAGTACCTGTACTGCACCATAAATTTTTCTCTAAAGGTGGAGCTAGTAATCAATCACAACATCCCTAACCTTCCCAAGAACTACATTCATCGTGTTGGTCGAACAGCTCGGGCTGGCAGGGCCGGTCAGGCCGTTACCTTCATCACGCCACATGAGATCAAGATTTTACTAGCTGTTGAGGCAGAAACACGAAGGAAATTGATGGAGCTGAAAGTAAGTAGAAATTGCAATGCTCTATAATTGGTCAAATTCAGACTAAATTCTGGGCAACAAGTATATCAAAAGAAATTATGGAAAGTGCTGAAAGAAGGTTTGGATAGAAGAATTAGCAAGAGGGAAAACTTACATAGGGTAATATCAACAGTGATAGCAATGTTTACAAACTTTTGCTATCACTGACTAGTATCTAATTGATAAGATACCAGTAAATGTGAAAGAAGTTTAACATTTAAAATATATCTTTGTATGAGTATCTCTGAAATCAATTTTCTGAATCTCTGAAACCAAATATATAATTTTAGTGTCCATGGTGTAGTGGTAAGACACTCGCCTGGCGTTCCGCGAGCGCTTTGTCATGGGTTCGTATCCTGGCCGGGGAGGATTTACTGGGCGCAAATCCTTAACTGTAGCCTCTGTTTAACACAACAGTAAAATGTGTACTTGGTTGTAACAACGATTCTTCGCGGCAGGGATCGTATTCCAGGGACCTGCCCGAAACGCTATGCGTACTAGTGGCTGTACAAGAATGTAACAACTCGTGTGTGTGTGTGTATATATATATATATATATATATAAAAAATTACCTGTATCTGCAAACAATTATTTCTTGACTCGGTATAAGATAGGTGTAGATTCAGGAAAGACCTGGGTAAATACTGGTTTGGAAATAAGGTTGTTAATCTATGGATCAGATTAATGGTGAACATAATAGATGTGGGATTGCTGAATTATTTAAATAAAAAAGATTAGACACATGAGAAAGTTGTGTTAGGAATAATATATATATGAATGAGTTTGATTGGGTATAAATAAGTATTTTTTACTGCAACACAAAGAAAAAAATTATGACAAGTTTCCTAAAAAGCATATGATGGATAAGCTATCTTTCTAATCTGAAATTAAATGATTATTATTAGTATCCTTTCTGTTACTGTTACAGTATTCTGACTTTTCATCTTGTTCCTTTAAACTTAGTGGTGCTCCTGTGAATAATCTTTCATAACTTGGAAATAGTAGGAAATAATCTATATTTTTGTAATGGAATTGCTCTTGTAAATTTGTTGTGCACAGGTGGATGAGGCTGGGGTACGGAGGATCATGAAGCAAGTCAATGTAACTCGCCGGGAGCAAGAGATCAAGCTTGATCAGACTGACTTTGATGAGCGTCGGAACATTAATAAACGCAAACGGCTCATCTTGGAGGGCAGGTGAGGTATTAAGGATTTTATTACCCGATAAAAAGCTTTAGTATAAAGGATGTAGGGAATGATGAGGAAAAGTATGACTAGGAGTGAAAATGTTTTGATAGCATAATAACACAGACAAATGGTCATTTGGTGGGTGGCAGTCACATACCATATAGTGTACAAAATCAGTACTGTATTTTGTGCTCAGTGATCAATACTATATGCTTCCTCTTGTTTTGGTAGCACATGAGCAGTATTGTTAACTGACATACTGAAGAATATTTTATAATTTTATTAATTAATCCAGTGATTTGAGAAGGATGAGTCAGTTCTGGAGTTATAGTGAGGAAGTGGCCTCACTTGGCCAAGGCAAAAGAGCATCTAAAAGTGACTAGCTATATTTTTGTCTGGAATTTTATCTCTTTCTAACCTCAAAATATTTGTGTGCAAACAGTTGGGCAGCAGTTTCCACTTGTTGGCAAAGTTGGCAGGAAGAAAGCAAGTGTGGATTAGTTTGCTTACGTTTACAGCAAGATCATCTGTACCTTAATTATTATGACTCCTTCTCTTTTAATATTAAAACACTAATATTATTTTTCTTTTAAAGAGATCCTGATGAGGAACAAAAGAAGAAGCATAAACACTTGAAAAACCTTAGAAAGGCTGAGAGGCAAGAACGAACAGAGTTACTCAAACAGTTGGAGAAGAAAAAGAAAAAACAGAGAGAGAAGACAATTGAAAGAGCTACATAGTTGAATGTTTTCCCAATATAATGTGTTTTTTATAATACTAAGGAGAACTGATGATACTTTAGTTGCTCATTAGAGTAATATTGTTATAATTATGATATAAAGTTGTGGAAATGGCTATTGCAAAAACATTATTTTTTAAATAAAAGAAAAATGGATATTGTTAGAACGTTTTCTTGTCATTGGTGTAAGTAATCGGTTTTCTGTCAGTCCTATACAGCAAGACAATGGTTGCAAAATTTCTGAACAGGCACAACCCCTTAACAAGCATGAAGTTCTGTTGTTTGAATGATAATCTTTCCAGAGTTAAATATTAGTCAACATAATTTCTTGAGCAGGAAAAAACAAAGGATCGCCTTTGTGAGACACCAATAAGCATTATATCAAAGTTTTAGAAGTAAATTTTCATACAAAATGTAAGGAAGATAGAGAAATACATAATTAATTTTCATTTATTTCAAATAACATAAGAGCATACAAGATGGGGGCAGCAATAACAAGACAAGACTGAGAGGAAGGTGTGTGTGTGGTCTGGCAGGACTGGGCTTTACCCTTACATACCAACTCCCATTTCTTCATTCCATTAATGAAAGTTTTATTGCAGTATTCATGTAGCCCAAAGTAACCCAGAATCTTTTCCATTACACTGTATTGCACTTGATAACAATGTTCTAAATGTTAGAATGTTTAAAAATTCCTGAAAATTGAATATTGCTTACCCATCATTTTCTAATGTTAAAATACTCTAGTACAATACATTGTTTTATGTACCTTATTTTTCTCCCTGGTTCCTGACCCATATAAACACACTCAATAAATTTGTGACTTGTCTATTTTTACAAACTCTATCTCCTATCTGAATTCAGGCAAGGACCAAAGTAGTGTATAGATTAAGGTCACTGGCTACCTTGGATTTACAATGCTCACACCAGCTATTTCATAGCTGTATATACAGTATATTGTAGTACGTGTAGTTATAGAAAAAAATCCTTTGTTATTAATTTTTCACATGCTATATTTTGAATAGCATTTATATTTTTCTGAATAATTTCAAAATATATCTGTAAATAATCCACACAAATATGATACTTTAGTCTGAAACTTCATTAACAATAATCTGTACTTCAGACATCTCAGTGTGAAGGCTAGTGTTGTAGGAACACACTACATAAGACCCATACTAGTTTTAATCCCCTACATATAATTGTACTTAGGTCTACCCAAAAAAAAATACAAGCCTAATATTGTGTGTAGACCTCTAAAAATGTCATTAGCCCATGTTTTCTAGTAATTTGTTATTTTAAGGCATGACTAGGTTACATATTAAAATCACAGTTATGTGGATGAAATTTGAAAATGTTTTATAGAGGAAGGTGGGGGGAATATAGCTTAGAGCTGGAGGAAAAATTGTAGGGTCAGTCAGAAACCATAAATATATATTTTAAATCTTTTAGCAAAGACATTAAATTGTAAACATATAAAATCAGTGTTGAGTGTAATGAAATGCCAGTTTGTGGGTGAGCACCATAGGCTCCCTGGAGCCTCAAGGTGCCACAAGGGGCTATACCCCAGAAGTACATGGCAGAAATGTTATAGTCTAGTAAAATTCCCTTTAGTATGCTCCTTGATAAGATATTTATAGAAATGAAAGTGTTAATGGAAGACAGGTATATCACAAAAGAAATTTAACACAATGATAATAATTAGTTTTAAATACAATTGTGACATTTACCTTAGGGAAACATTTTTTTTTATCAGTGATCCTTACTAAATTTTGAAAGAAAATAAAGAAAACTTACTAAATTACTCTCAGATTTTTTGCAAAAAAAAAAAAAAAAAAAAAAAAAAAAAAAAAAAAAAAAAGATAAGATAGGTTAGTCCTCCAATAGACACACATGGCTATGAATTTGTGGTACAAAAATTATCATTTTATATTAATATGTAGAGTGCCTTTTTTGTTTTTATTATCAAAGCTTATGAAAGGACTGACACTTTAGCTCCAAATCAATTAGTGATAAATTTCATGCAGTGGCCAGACAAAGTTGGAGGGCTGATACTGTGTGCACGACTAGGTCACTTATTGCTAACCCTTGTTTGGAGTTACCGGAAACAATGGGAGGCTGCAATACTTTTTTTTTTTTTTTGGTGCGGAAGA